CCAATTTTTCAATCTGCTCCGCTGCTTTGGTGGTCTTTGTTGTCTGCTCCATTTCACATTGCATAACCATCTCCGCAAAAGTCAATTGTTGCAGTGTCACTCCAAGGTTGACGCCGTCCCTCCTCATCTGAAAAACCTTGGTGAATGCCGTCTTGAAGGCAGGGGCGCCCCAAGGATCATCGCCGCTCCGTCTCCACGTTTTATTTTCCTTCATCTCTGCTTTCATCTTGTTGCGAGTGGGGAGCTGGTGATCTGTTTGCTGCGACCGCACAAGCGGGATCCCTTTTTCAGCCCAAAACCAACGTTTCAGTTGCCATGTTATTTTCCCACGCACAGTCGTCATCATTCTGTTGCACTCCCCTATGACTGCTCGAATCCCGCAGGACGCTACGTGTGAGCGAAGTCCTTCCTCCGCAATCTCCCCCACCAGTTTGGCCGTGGTTTGCAGCGATGTGAAAAATACATCCTCTGTAGGGTACAGAGTTGCGTCCTTTGCTGCGGAGAACGCAAAGGCTTTCGCGACCGAGCGGAACAGCCCGCCCCTCATTCTCTTTGTGAATGCGCCGGACTCTTCATTCACTTGATGTTGTCCTCCACTATTCGCGCACACTTTTGCTTGCGAGTTCGTGTCATCTGCTGGGAGACAGACATCACAACGCACATAACAATATTTTAGAACTCGGCAGTCCAGATACATTTTAGCACTAGCGACATTCGGCAGTCCATTTCAACCGCATGTTCATCAAAGTCAAATCCTTGCTTCAGCGATGTGCCTGAACTTTGCGAGTCCGAATGTAATCGTTTGGCAAGGGCGGCAACTTCAGCGCACTTTGTTTATCTATTCCAGCAGTATTAGCGTGTCTCACTATTTGTCTGCCAATGGAAGGCGTGTCGGCAGCGCTGCCCTCGTGCGTTGTGTTCCTCCCGGGGACCCTCGTGCGTTGTGTTTCTTCCGGGGACGGGGAACTCGCTCTTCTAGATGCGATTCTGTCGTCTTGGGCTGACCCATCATCACTCTCTTCGTGCGCGGTGCCGTCGTCACTCCCGCCGTTGTCGTCGTCAGCCTCGTCAGTGTCGCGAGGATGTCCGTGGGAGGTCTCACTTTCGTCGACCTCGTCCCTTGACGCGTTGTCATCCTCCCTGTCGGACTTTTCCGATGAGGGGTGGTCGTGTTCCTCCTCTGCTTCCTCTCGGGCTCCGCTGTGCATATTGTCCGACCCTCTCAGATCGATCATGTCCACCGTTGTGTCCTTTTTGTAGAAGATTCTCTTCTTTATCCTGCGGTGCACCTTTGTGATTTGATCTTCCCGCGACCTCTTCTCGGGGGCCCTGGGCGGACGGTTCTCGGCACCGCTGACACGGATCAGTGGGGCGGGAGTCGAAGGGGGGGACTCATTGCGTTCTTTCAGCTTTGAAAGAACGCGCTGACTTGATGAGATTGAAACTTTTGATCCGTGCTTTCCCCTGCTGGTGCATTCCGTTTTCGCATTCTCAGATCCGCTTCTGCGATGCTCTCTCGAATCTTTTTTCTTTTTGGCCTTGGATTTCTTCCTCTCCTTGTCCTTCTTTCCCGCGGCCTTCAAAGACCTGCACAGATCCTCGTATTTTGGCCTTGGAGCCATTGCCCTGTTTTCCCCACATACATGAAAGTGGAAAAAGAACAACAACTGCGTCAGCAATGTTGTGTGTCGATCCATGCCTCTCTAAAGTGTCGGGGGGCCGCATTGAGAGAGAGAGAGAGAGAGAGAGAGAGAG